TGCAGTCGGTCGAGGATGAGGATGCGGCGGACGGCAGTCCCGGGCGGGCGAGCCACGATGAGGATTCGCGCCATGTCCTCGAGGAAATGGAGATTCTGGACCCGGAGAGTGCTGCGGAGCAAGGAAGGTCGAGGCGGGATCGAATGGGCAGTCGCTTCTCCAAACGCTTTCACCGCATCACCCATACCCTCTCCAACTTCCAACTCCCCCGCTTTCAACTCCCGCGGATACCCTGGCCGTCGTGGCGCCCCGACTTCAGCGTCGTGACCGACCACCTGCCCACCCTGTCGGATGAATACAAGCCCGGCTGGGCCATTATAGCGCGTCTGGTCGGATTGGTGGTCATCATCTCACTCGTCTACGTCTTGATTGTGAGTGAGGTGGTGCCCATGGGCGGTGGATTTGGCACCCCCTTCAATCCCGAGTGGGTGCGCCAGTATGGGCTGCAGAGTGTGCAGGGCTCGCTGATTGAGAAGAATCTCGAGTACATCACCAGTTATGACCATATGGGGGGAACAGAGGGCAGCTATGTGTTGGGGCAGTGGATAGAGGGCAAGTTCAAGGATGCGCATATGGATACGTATACGCATGATGAGTACGTGGGGGTTCTGACGTTCTGACGTCCTGGCTAAACCCTTCAGACTGCGAAATGCTGACACGTGCAGATATCATGTCTACATGAATTTTCCCAAACAGGGCGGCCGGAGAGTGGCCATTGTAGAACCACAGAACATGGTTTGGGAGGCCAAGTTGGAGGAACCTTCCGTTTTCAACCCACCAAAAGCTCAGACACCTGCGTTTCATGGACTTTCGGCTTCAGGCAACGTCACGGGACCGTTGATATACGTAAACTACTGCGATAGCAACGATTTCAAGACGTTGTCGGATAAGGGTATTGCTGTAGCAGGCGCCATTGCCCTATGTCGGTCCTATGGAACATTACCAGATCTGGGCATGAAGATCAAGGCGGCTCAAGATGCCAAAGTTGCAGGTGTGCTCGTGTACTCGGATCCCGCCGATGATGGTTTCAAAAAAGGCAAAGCCTGGCCCGATGGCAAATGGAGACCCGGCGAGAGTGTACAGCGTGGCTCGGCAGCGCGGACAAACATGATCATGGGTGACGTGCTTACCCCAAGCAACCCAAGTATCAAGAAGCAGGGCCGCATGGCGCCCCACCACAGCCCTGGTCTCCCCAA